GGAGGGGCGTGTTGGCTCCGCGGGGTTTCTCGGATCCGTTTCCATGCCTCAGCCGTGACTCACGGGCCCCGCAGCGCGGTGCGTGGGCTCCTTCCAGCCGCAACGCTGCTCGTGGCATCGCGGGGAGCGCGGGCACAACAACCCGAGCAGCCACCAGCACCCGCTCGACCGGGCCCAGGGCAGGGACAGAGCCGTCCCCATCCCGTCCCCGGTGCCCGGCAAAACGCGGGCATCTCCCGAGGAGGCAGCAGCTCCTGCAAGCATCATCCTGGGGCGACTTCCTCCCATAAAAGGGCCTCGGTGCCTCCTCTCCATCAGTTCACAGGTCACACTATTCCCACTATTATTTTTCAAATAAGCTCCCTGTCAGCTCTGGAAGGATTTGAAAGCATCGATGTCAAATCTCTGTTGATACTAGGCTTCCGTCAATAGTTAATCTGCAATAACAAAATGCCAAACTACAAACAAATCCCAGGCGGATGCTGCATTATGTATAATAGCTTATGTTTGTTGAGCTTTAGGATTGAACTCCTGATCCTTCTACCTCCTGGATGTTCCAGGGATTACCACAGTATTAACTAAACATAATTACATGTAGCCTGACTATCTCGCTCGCACACTTCTCTCCATGCACGTTTTTCCTTTTCTTTCATTATTTAAAACTGATTTATTCAGTTTTATGTTCCATGTATTTCATTCTAAAGAAACGCAGCTGCTGCACTAGAGAGGTCTCCTGGATTCCTGCTCCTCTTTCTCCATGCACAGCAATAATCTTCTGACGTTGCAGCTGTTCCATGATTGAAGGGAGACAAGGAGGATTGCCTGGGTTTTACCTGAAATATTTAGAGCCTTTCACAAAGTTCATAGAAATTCTTTTAGAATTTATGAGTTTTTTTGCCAGGCAGCATTCCTCATTACCGAGTCTCTTTTTGGGCATGCAGTAAAACCAAGTTCTTGGGCTGCTGCACAGGTTGGAGTATCTTAAAAATCGCCATGAATAAAACAGTGGTGGCTCCCGGGGGCCGGGCCGCAGGCGGCTCCCGCTCCATCTCCACGTGCCTCCGCGGCCGCCCCGTTCTGCTCTCGCCCGGGTTGACCCTTCAGCGCGTTTGGGTCGCTCCCACGCCACAAAGCCGCCGCCAGCTGCTCGTTCAGCCCCTGCCCCGTGGCCGTCGTGGTCTTCTGCCCCGCGCCCGTGTCCTTGGCCTTGGCTTGGCCGTTATCCGCAGGCAGGCGCAGGGAGCAGCACTGCAGGGCTGGAGCAAACCCTCCTCCCCGCTGGCACAGGCGGCAGCTCCGGATTTGCCTCCGTTTGCTGCAGATGAGGCAGCAGCTCCGCTGTCCCAGGCCAGGGCGATGCTGAGAGCGACTGAATAACGCGAGCCCGGCGTTGATCCACGCGCTTGCTTCATTCCAGGTCGGAGTGTGGAGCCCGTCGGACGGCTTGAACATCACGGAAATTTCCAAGGGACGAGGGCCTAACGTCACCGACTCGCTGAGCAACAGATCCCTGATTGTCACCACTGTCCTGGTAGGTGACCGCGGGCCCTTCCCTCCGTCTCGGTGCAAACCCGGGGCTCGCGGGGCGGCGGGCGCTGAGCTCCGGGGACACCCTGGCCCTGCCATCGCCCGCGGGTCGCGTCTCCCCCTCGCGCAGGAACATCCTCGTTGTGGGAGAGGTTGCCGAGAGCCCTTGGCGTGGCTGTGACAATCGTGTTCCTTTCTCCTCCTAGGGACATATTTCATAAACTAGCTTAAAGAAATGCTGTTATCCAGCAGAGCGCAGTTACTTAGCTGGTCCCCTCCGCTTCCCGCTGTCAGTCTGCGTTTCGTTCTCACGTTCGCTATTGGATTTGATGGCAGGCATCAGATGAGAATGAATTCTTATCTAACCTCTAACGAGAGATGACGAGTGGCATTAGTTTGTGTGCGGCTGCGTGACGCGGGGCGGGCTCGTGGCGCTCCTGCGGGAAGCACAACAGCGCTTGGCAGCGAGCTCCAGCTCCGCAGTGCCTTCGCCCACCTCCATTTTCTGCCCCTTTTATATTTTGTATTTCCAGGGAGCCTAAGGGCAGAGGGAGGAAAGGGCTGGCAGTGCGGGGCGCCGTGACCGCACCGTGCGGCTCCTGGCCCTCCTGGAAGGCCGTGGCTTTATATAGAGCGTGGCTTGGCAGGAGGAATTGCGAGGCGGGGAGGTCCATCCTCTCCGCTTCTCAGAAGAAAAGGAAGTCAAGAAACGCTTGATGTGGGGCCTAAAAAGGCTGGGAGCAAAGGTCTCATTCCACGCAGGGAAGGGTTAGTGAAACAGGAGCAGGCAGGAGGCCGCTGCTGCCCTCCTTATGGACTAGCCCCCAGCAAAAGTGATGCGGCTTCCCCTCCGGCAGCTCCTGTTTGCTCACGGAAACCTTTCACTCGGGGTCCTCCCTGCGGGCAGGGAACGCGGTGCCCTCCCTGCACCACGCGGTTTTCCCGGCCCCGGGCGGGCCGAGGCGGGCGGCTCCCTTCTCGGGAGGCTTCCCAGCGCGCTGCTCCGGCGGCTCCCGCTGGCCACGGCTATTCCCGTGAATTGGCACACCAGGACATCCTGTAGGAGCATGAGAAATGAGAGGGCAAAAGGCGCCGCCACAGCCCCCCGGCCTCTCACGGTGCGCAGGGTCCCCGTGTGCCACGCGCCCTCCTTAGAGTCTTTCCCATTTAGACATTTTTGATGCATTCACAACGCTCCCGAGGCGGAAGCGCGAGCACCAGGCGGAGGTCGGGTTGGCAGGCCCAGCCGCAGGCCCCGCGCGTTCCCAGAGCCTCGCGCGGCGCGGCGATGCGCTCCGGGATCGGCTCCCCTCGGGAACGCCGCAGCCGCATCCCGCACGGAACCACGCGAACGGCGGAGCTGGGAGCCGCCTGGCAGCCTTTGCACCCCGTACCCGCGAGCACGTGTGAATAACAGAGCATGCAATGGTGACAGCAGCTCCTGCTAACCGTGTCCCTACCCGGCATCCCTCCTCCCCTTCTGCTGCCGGCGGGACTGGGAAATGTGCTTAAGCCCAAGTTTTGCAATAACTGCATTTTCATACACAACCCTGAACTTTATTTGCATTTGCAACTTCCCCTTGTGCCTTTGCATTGGTGCAAATGATTGCAGAAAAGCCGTAGGAGGAACCTTGAAAGAAAACGCTTGAGAGGCTGTTTCCCCACCTTTTACACACATTGCAGTGACTTGTTGGAAGAGAAATATTACCCCAGCAGCCAGTGCCGCTCTCCCCAAGCAATATGGGAACTGTGAAGTTATGAAATTGAGGGCACCTTCACTGAGAAATCGATTAGCAAACCGAGAGAGCTTGTGAATTGGATGTCTGGCCATTTTCAGTAATAAATTGTGAAATAGTCCGTGAATAAGTGGTTCACAGAGTTCAGAATTACCCCCTAGGAAATGTCTGAGACCTGCAGATACATTACCGAAGCGAGCGGCGTCCTAATGTTCAGTGCTTCAGCTGTTAAATATGCATGTAATCCCTACAGCGCTTCCCAAAATTAATAGTGCTTTACGGCTGCTGGGGAGCCGGGCGCTTGTATGGAGATCCATCGATGCAGCTGGGCCCCAAACAAAGCGCTAATTCCGCG